TTTTTTTTTTGAAAGGCACGCAACATTTTTTGTACTAATATCACCCATATTTGAGTTAACATTCATTCTCTACAACTTTTGCTCATCTTCGATCGAGAAGAATTTTTTTTTGTTATATATTTGAGATATGAAGATACATTACATGTAATATCTTGTCACTATCACAAAAAATTTACATGTTACTGCACAACATTTTTGTTTTTTTGTTTTTTTTTTGAAAGGCACGCAACATTTTTTGTATGAAACTGTTTTTTTTTTTTTCTTTTTCTTTTTTATGAAATATGAAACTGCTTTTTATCATTGTTAGTTTGTGCTTTTTAACATAGTATTTTTATTAAGAATGAAACTATACAACGTTCCTAGTTCACGTTGGAGTCGCCCCATCTCTTATGGAAAATAGTTGACCAGGTCCATTTAAGAAATCATTCATTTTACTAGAAGTTTTAAAACAGTATTTGCATGCCACAAACTGCAGAGGTCTCATGTCAGAGAAGAGTGGCACCAACCAAGGGTGGTCATGTTAATTGGTGATCATCCGTTTTGAGCAGTGGGTAGAGAAATGTATTAGTATTAATGGAACAGAAAGCTAAGTTTACTTCTTCTTCTTCTTCCTTTTAATTTAGGTGCATTTGGAAGAATTAAAATGCAAGTACCTTCCATTTTACCTTTTTCCAAAAAAAAAAAAAAGGGAAAACAGATTGGTCCTAAGACATGATGAAAGTGCAACAGTAATAATTAACTTTTATGCATTGAGAAAAGTTGTATAATAGAGTGACAGATTAGGGAAGACTACTGCTTTAAATAACCAAGGCCTATACTTTTGGGCTTGTTCTCCATCAATTGAGCTGCTTAATCTACTCTCTATGGTCGTAAACAATAAAACTTTAATGTTGTTCTGAAGCAAATATCATTTTTTTTTTCAGAGTTTCAAGGGACAAATATCAAGATAAAGATTCAGATTTTAGAAGCAAAAAGGCGGAGAGTAATGGACTTTTTCTTTATCATATATAGTTATACTTAGTTATAATCTTATTCAACACACATTTCAACATTCATATTTTACTTTCTACTTTAATATCAAATGAACTCTAGAAATTGTTTTTTGGCTTTAAACTGTCAATATTGGAGATGATTTGTGCAGATGTTAGAGTTCAGGTACTGAGTTTTGCAAAGCCTAGAATGTCTCCCACGTCAGGTAATATAGCAGCAAATTGGGGGATAAAAAATCCTATGTACAGGGTGATTTAATAGTTAGTTACATTGTTCTTTCATTCTTTTTGATTAATTCATTCATTGTACACAGAACCCCAATAGCAATCTTTTGCTGGTGGGGCATGTACATTTGCGCTTTGCCATTCTGAATCCATCTTTGATGCTCATGGATACTTGAATCTGAGCGAGGAAGACCATATTCCATGTTAATTTTTGATAAAAGATTAGCACATAAGTTCGTGCATCCTTAATTAACTTCTCTTAACTCAGCGCAATATTCACTGATACTACCAAGTGTAGAATTCTACTCAACTTTAAACGACAATTTACATTAATGAGGGAAATAGGAAAAAATTTATGAATTTCCTCCAACATCTCATTTGCGTTCTCCAATTACACTCATTCTTTAATATAAGTGAACTTAAACATACTAATATAAGTAAAACTTAAACAATTAATGAGTTTGAAACAAATCTATTTAACTTAACAAAACAGGGAAAGTCTCAAATATAACTTATTTATTTGCTCAAGTAAACAACGTTATATATAGTTGAGAATTAATTAGATTATTTTCATGTATTAATGTATATATCATGAGTTGTGTAACATCACAAAAATTTTGTTTGCTAACTTGTTTCATAAATTAACTATTGCAGTTTAGGTGATCACTAACATAATATTATCAACATCTTTTGTTTAATTACTCGAGTAAATTATTAAGGTTTAGTTTGATAATGCAATCCAGTATTACTTTATAACTGTAATTATTAAAAGTATTGTGTTGTATTGCCACGAAAAGCACTTTAGTATTTGGTAATTATATTTCAAAAAAAAAAACTATTATAAAATTACTCAATTA